GTGGAAAGGTGGGTCCATAGCCACAGCTCCATTGCCAGTTTGTGTGACTGCTGAAGGTGATCATCCCTGTAGAAGAGACATTGCTGCATAATATGTGCATTAGAGAATGTGCTGTACCAAGCACAACCTGAGCCTTCCATGACTGCAGTAGAAACATAGCTGAGGGGGAAATTTCACAACACTTGGAGAGTCTTTCCATCATATTGAATAAGAAAAATATATATATAAATGTATAAGCAAGAAAACATATTTGGTTGATGGAAAACATTGTGTGATTCCATTGAAGCAAAGTCCTGACACAATAAATATTAATATAGTTCCTTATAGAAAGCTTCCTGAAAAAACCTATTCCTCAGAAAAGAAATGGGAAAAATCTTGTCCAAATTCTGTGTTCTATTGCAATGCAGATAGGATTGATGCGACTGAAAACAAAGCAGCTTGTTCTGGCATGCTCTGCCTTTTCTTTGAGGTTGCTTAAATTATTTAAGAGTGCTATGAAGTGCTTTTCATCCTCAAGTCAATCTCTGTAAATTCTACCTTAGCAGGAATATTAAAAATATTTTAATTGTCTAATTCATTTACAAAACAAAAAGTCCCACTTCATCATTATCCCATGCAAAGCAAGGTACCTGGAAGATGTGAAAACATCATCTCAGACTCATCAAAATATGAATCACTGTATTATATAATCTGTAGTGCACCATGAAGGTGCCTGACTGTCTTTTCTATAAAATAAATAAAAAAATGCTAATAGCAAACCAAGATCATTTACACCTCTGTAATGCATTTTAGTCTGCACCTATGCTGTGATGCACTTTGGGGTAATTGACAATAAAAACTTCAGTGTACAGGCTCCCCTGCTGTATGAATTACAGTTTTTGCTGTTTGTAGTAGTTTGTTCATACTCCTGACTGTGGTCTCCTGAGATTTAAAAGAAACCCTGCTGGTTTATTAGCACAGTGGGTTTTTTTAATAGTTGGTTTCTGATATGAAAATTTAACTAAAATTGACCATTGGTTGAGAACTGACTAATGTATTTGTAGTACTTTCAGGTGAATGTATTGCATGATATAGTTTATAAACAAGATTTATTTGGCTTCTCTGGGTTATTCTCCTGGATTAAAAATCTCATTTCAAATAGGATTTGCTTGTTGAAAATGTTATCCTCACATGCACTTACTAATATGATTTGCATTATCATAAACTGTCTCCATATGTAGCTTGTGATTCTGTACCAGTTTGTTTTACCTGGTTTGTTTTGGTGGATATCATGATGAATTACAGGAGTTTCTTTTGGGGTTTTAGGTTTGGATTTTTTCTTCTTTCAGATTGTCTCACTAAAAACCAAAGCCTCAAATGAGCCTAAAGTGGAACAAAGATTTTGTTTTGGCTTTGGAGCTCATTGCCCGAAAATAGATGTTTTATTCTTTTACATCAGCACAAAGTATGAAAAATATTTTTCAGTTTTATCAAATTTGATCTCTCTTCTAAATTTCATTTGGTTGTTTGGAAAAAAAGATAGAAATTACATTATTCAGACCATTCTAGTTAATAATTCTGAAATACATATATGCAATGGCCTGAGCCAAATATCTGGTGTTAAGAGTCCATGGAGGAACTGGTACTTCTGCACCTCCTGCCTCTGCCCATGGAACATCTTCTCTGAGCCTAGCATCTGTCTTCTGTTTCATTCTACATGGCTGAGGGGGGAGATCGAAATAAACTGTCATCTGATCAATAGAAATATTTTAAAAACAATACAGCATGAGAGAGAGCAAAGCCATAAATGATAATCTGTAGCCTAGAAGACTGCTTCTTTGCATTAACATTGGTACTTTGTGTAGCAATTTCTTTCTCTGATGACTTTTTAGTCTTTTCTCCCAAGGCCATAAGCTGTTCCTGGGGAATCCAGCATTCATACATTCAGGATGCCGTTAGGACACACACCATTCTCACAACGGGTTGTTCAGCTATGCTTCTGGGACTTCACACCCTACTAATGGGAAACCCACCCTCTTGTAGCCCTGGCAGCCTGGAGAGGCAAATGAAGCCAAGTGCAAGTAATTCAAACGAAAAGAACTCCATTAGCAGAACCTGAAAGAGTTTATAAGGCAGTCACTTTGCTGACAAGGAAACTGCAAAAAAAATGATGAAAATTAAGTCTGACTGGAAGGTGGAAAACTGCTTTCCCTTTACTTGGTTTCTTTTAGTGTACAGCCTGAATGCATTGTGTTGTTGCCAGACATGTAAACTCTTGACTGAAGCAGAGGAAAACAAGGACTCTATTAGAAAAAGTGAAGTAGTTAATTGTTAATTTTATAGTTATTTCTTTCCTAAGCAAATTTTCATATTCTAATATTTCCATGACCTTTCACTTGTCTTTCTTACATAAATGAGAGAATCAGGTCATCTCAGTTCCCACATCTAATGGCTTGTTGACAAGGAAAAAAATTAATCAGAATAGCTACTGTGGAATAAATTACTCCAAAATAGCTTCCCCGTGGATACTGTTATTCTGAAATAAGTATGCCTTTTTTCTGATTAGCACTTATTCTGCCAGACCAATATTTGTCAGGTTTCTCAGGTAGACAGCAGTCAGCTTGTAGAAATTAGTACCTTTCAGAAAGTCCCTTGACTCCTTGAACAAGACTTGTCACTGCCATAACCCTTCCACTGGCAGAGCCCAGCCCCAAATGGCCTGGCCACATCAGAGCACTCTGCAGGCATCTTCACCAGTAAAAACCACAGCAAGAGATTTCAATGTCTTTATCGCTTTTGCAAGTCTAGTATAATTGTTTAATATTTATAGTCTTGGATAATCTGCTATTAATTTGATGCTTTACAGTTCACTTATTAAGAGTATAGAGTGTTTCATTCCCTGGACAAAAAAAAGAGGAAACAATAAGAGGAGATTTATTTTTTTTTTGTCTTGAAGTTCCAAGCGTGCTCTTCAGGTTTCAACCCAAAAAGCTCTTTTGTGTTTTTCATCAGAACACACTGAAAACCCCTCTGGTTCATGTTGTGACCTCCTCCATCCTCTTCCTGTGTGCTTTTGTTTAGACTGGAGGCCCCTTATTGTTTCAGCTTACTGATTTCTTAGCAGATTGCAATGGCTTTCTAGGCTTTCCTGAATATAAAGTGACTGCTACACTCAAAGTCAATAAATTCAGCATTGCCCTGTGAAGTTCTTCTCCCACCGCTGGCAAATGCCTGTTGTCTCCAGGATTTGGGGAATGTGGAAAGAACTTAAAGCACATACTGACCTGTAGCCATGCCAGCTTTGCTGGATCCGAGGGTCCAAGATTATTGTTGCTAGCTATCTACAGTTGCCCTTGGCTCATTATCACAAAAACTAGCCTGCTCTATCAGATTTCCCAGCTGCAGCAGGATGGATTTGTTAATGTTTTTCCTTAGTCAAGCAATTACCTTGCTCAAGGTCAGACAAGGATTTTCAGATGGCAGGAAAACCACTTCATTCTATTTGTTTGTTCTGTAGAAGGGCTTTTGCTTTCTTTTCAAAGTGAATATTTTATGCTGCTGTTTGCTGAGCATTCACACAGTACAGTGTGCTCTCTTGAGAAAGGAGCAGAGCTAGCTGAGGGTTGGTCTTGCACCCATTAAAGTCAATGACAAAACTCCAGCAGTGCCCCTGCTAGCACAGCTTGCCCGGAGGAGGTACGGGTTGATAGACTTCAAAGTGTTGATACAAACAGAGCATAGAAAGTCAAAGCATGAAGTGAAAATATCTGACAGTATGTTGATCCTATAGCATTCCAATTTTAACACAAGGGAAATCCATACAGTGATATGATGACTCCACATTTATTCAGAACGACCTTGTTAAAAATACAAAGAGATGTCTATGTTGAAGGATACGACACTTTCATCTCACTTTATATGCATTAGTGTGCTTGTCAGTCCAAGCCAGTTAGCAGCTGCTAAGTCATAAAATGGATGTTGAAGAAGATAGTAGGACATTTTACCATCTCTTATTAAATCTGTTTCTGGTTGAGTATGTAATTTAGGCAATTTGGACATCTAAGCTGCTGATAGAAGCAAATAAATGCCAATAGCCCAATTTTAAGTTTAATTTAGATGCACTTCAGTGCTTCAATTTTCATCATAAGCTTTGGACATTTAAGTAAATTAATTTCACCCACACATGTTGCTGGAAATTTGTCCATGAAGAAGTAGAGATTTTGCAAAAAAAATATGTTATTTCTCTTATTTTTCATACTTGAAAATGAAGGGAGGAGGAATAGCTTTATTTTCACTTTCCAAATTTGCTTTCCTGGTGCAAACGTCCATAGAGAAGACTGTATCTGTCAGGTCACTGGGATAGAGCCTGCATCAAGGTGTGTGTTCATGTATCACCAACTACAGAAGGAGTGTAGTCATTATTATGCCCTTTTTTGATTATTCTAGTATTGCAACTGATAAATGAAAAGTAAACATCCTAAAGCACAAGTAGAACTATTGTAGGGCTTAAAATAGAAGTCAGACATCTGTAACAAGTACCTTTTTTTTGCCTGCTGCAGTGAGGACGCTTATGAGAGTTAGGTAAGATTTCAGACCTCATTAGTGCAGACTGATTAGTGAGTGTATATCCTGCACAGGTGTGGCCACACAGTACTGACAGTAAAGGACTGTTAGTGGTAGTAGCTGCACAGTGTGGATCACACACCCGTTGGACTGACAAGTATTATGTAGTGCCTTTCTTCTGCCTGTCCTGCAGTGAAGACAGTCCTGCTCTTCCCTATTCACTCAGTTTGTAGGTTCTGTTTCTGTCGTGTGAGGATCTGATGAGGTGATACTGTTAATGACTGAGACAAATGCCTCTCTTGGACTAAGCACGTTTTAATGTTTTATTGAATTTGACTGTGTCATAATCAGCATGCCTTCCCATGGATTACATTCCTCCTGTGCTCTCTGGAAGTAAATGTGGCACTTTATTCTCAGAACCACTGAATTTAATGAACTTTCCATTCTTTCCATTTTAGATGGCTTGACAGACTGTGTAGACCCTGACTGCTGTCACCAAAGCAATTGTTACTCAAGTCCTCTCTGCCAGGGTTCGCCTGATCCCCTTGACCTTATTCAACACAGCCAACCACCTTTCTCTCAGCATCCTCCAAGGCTCTTTTATGATCGAATCAGATTCCTTATTGGGAAGGAAAGCACTCATGTAATCCCAGGAGATGTCTCATTTGAGAGCAGGTGAGTTTTCTTTCAGATGAAAGATTTTTCTGAATATTAAATTATTTAACCAGGAGAAAATGGTGATACCTGGGTAGCTGAGAATTCTTCACTGGTGCTCATAAAATACTTAAAAGGATTGCAGACATTAAAGTCCCAACAGCTAAAGATCTTGGTTATCAGATTATAGTTGCTACCTGTCTAGTTCATGAGAGTGTCACAGCAGCAAACTCTACTGCTCTTATTAACAAGAGCATTATTATCTAATTAACAACTCTAGTGCTCTTATTAACTCTGGCTGCCATGGAAGGTAAGCTGTCTCATACTCATAAAATCAGCAGGGGGAAGTTCAGCCCTTCATGCTGTACATACATGTAATGGCAGGATGAAGAAAGACAAGTTGGATTCATATGTGCTTTATTCAGTTACCTTTCTGTCCAGTAGAATTTGACTGGTATTTGCAGTGTAATTAATTTAACATGTGTGACTGACATATAATCCGGCCACCTAATTAACTTCTTTGGTTTTACTACATGTTAATAGACCAGTGTGGAGTTTACCATTTTGTGCTCCAGGTTTCTCTCCAGTCATCATGCAAAGGATAGAGGGATCTCAGATTGTTTGTGAGATTGGCTTTGCCATTTAACAGAAAAAGACTGTGCCATAGGAAAGGGGCACTTACTTGCTCAGAAAACCTGGTAACACATATTTTCTTGAACATTTGAAATATAGGGGCACATAAGTTTTTATGCTGTAGTTCACCTGGGAAGCTATAACTTACATGCTGACAAAGAGATCCACAAATCATCCACATCACCTGACTATTACCCTGTCAACTAGGCCTATGCATTAGATAAACCATGTTCCAGTAATAAGGACATAAGAATTCTTTTTATTTTCACAGTACATAGCACTTAGGTTACAACCTGGATGCAGTTCCATACTGCACACAAATTCCGTGCACTTTCTCTTTGTAACATTAATTTTTAATAAAGTAAATTTGTAAACAGAGTCTTTATTGATCTGAAATACCTAAACATTTAATCACTATTAATAATGTAACAGGATGTTATAAATATGTAGAACAATAAGGCATGAAGATGAACTCTGTGTGAAGCACCCACCTGCCACTGGCAGGCTTCTCAGAGTGCATTGTGCTTATGAACAGTGCTACTGAACTTGGGGCAAGGTCCTTTGCTGACTCTGTGTGCAGTTCAAGCCAAAAGTCACCAGTGAAAGGTTTTCCTCATCAAAATGCCTCACAGTGAGGAGTTTTCAGAGAGGAGGTGAGCACTCAAGTTGCCTGTACAGTGTTCTGTGACACTGCAAATGTTAGCAGCCAGATTGCACATAATCCCATCAACGTGCTTTTATAGATAGAAGGAATTGATCTTTTAAAGCTATCATTGATGGGATTTGACTTGGATTTAAAAGCTTTTTCTGAGTATTTCGTTTCTTTACCCTGATACCTGCCATGCCTTTGAAGAACGAAGAGCAGTGAAGTTCCATGTGGGAGCAGCAGCCCACACTCACCATGGCTTGATATGTCCTGCCGCTAAGGAATCTGGCTTGTACTTTTGTTGGTGCATTGCTCACACCCAGATATCATTTCCTCCCACTATAGAGAAGTGCCTAGTTAGTTTGGTGAGAAGATCGTTGGGATTCAGATGAGGGTGGCTGTATCTTTGGAATCAGGGCTGTGCCTGGAGACTCATACTGTGCCATGTCTCCTGAGTTTTGTCAACAGTAATCTGCCATGCACTGGGCACCCCAGGGGTTCCTCAGTCCACACTTTGCTTGATTCTCAGTCTTCCAGGCTGTTGAAAAATTGCTCATCCATAAGTCAAATATTATTACAAACTGCCAGAATTTTCCTCAAGGATGAGAGATAAGCAGGGTCTCCAAAGGAGGCAATAGCTGAGCTGTGCTGCCTCTGTTCAGAATCTTCCTCTGACATTGTCAATCTGACTGTCATCTAGTGTCTGGTTTTCTCCTGGGAATTAAGATTACTGAAAAAAATAGAGGAAGACAACTGCTGCTACAGTAAAAAACATCAGAAATCTGTGATACAGCCTATCTGGTACAGACCAAAGAGTGCTTGGAGGGGTTTAATCTCCTTTGGGCTGTGCAGAAAGGGTTGTGTCCAGGCAGATGATGTTAACTCATGGCTTCCTGCAATGCCACTGATTTTATAACATTCATGGCTCAACATGAAATATTGGAAGATTGGATGAAATAATGGCATGCAGATTTCAGAGCACTGTCATCCATTCCTACTGGTGCTCCGATTTTGCAAAGCCCTATCTAGCTTTTCTTTTTTTATTATTTCCCTTTACAAGAAACCTCTGAGACCCTTAGCAGGATTAAGGAAGAAACATCTATCCAATGTTTTCAGTCTTCTGATTCAAATGACATTGTGCAGTGTTTTACTGTACCACAGGTCAGTTGAGCTCTAGTATGGGTGATATTTGCATGAATATCACTGTTGATAAAGGCAAAGTGATGTTGATTAGATTTGGGAAAGCTATCAAAAAATGGCAAGGATTAACTCTGTCCTTCAGACTGAAAGTGTTTGGTTTCTGCCATATCCTGGCATTTTCAAACTAATCTGAAATACTAAAACTAGTTGTTTTGACAGCTGCTGAGACATCCATCCTTTTGCATTTGCATCTTGGACTTTAGCTTAGGTCTAATTTTTAAACATTTGACTTCTGCAGTGCAGTCAGGATGTTGCATTGAGTCATGGCTAAATACTATACCAAAAATAATGTTAAGGAGCTAAATGTTTGCAAAGCATATTTTGTTTTTTATTATGTCAAAGCTATGTCATTTGCACTGGATTTTTACAAACTCCCACTTAAACTGTGACATGCTGAAAGGCAGATTAGAGACATTCTGAATAAATGGAAATGTACTTGCTTACATCAGGAATGATTTTGACCTACTACATGTAGCAGGGTGTAGAAGATTATAATGTTTTTTATCAACTTCTGTTCTCAGGAAGATTTTTAGCTTGTTTCTTTGCAGAGTTGTTTTAATGCACGCTGCTGGCAAGCTGTTTGACTCGCTGCAAATTGCCTACAAAAAGGGTCTAGTGTATGGTACTGAATTAATTACCCTTCAAAGGCTGCTTACAGCAACATTG